TAAGAATGGTTTATGCCAACTTTTGAGTATACAGTTGTGGACAGTCACACTTTACCTATGTGGAATGCCCTTAATCATTTATTATAAAATAGGATTTTATGTAATTTTATTGTCTCTGTGTGGTGCAAATAGACTCTCATCTTTAATTACTCCAACCTGTTTGGGTGTCTGATGGGCTCTTTGTTTTGAGATATATTTTAGGGGAAGGTACCCACTGAGAATACTGGAAGTTTTGTATGGATCCAATTTTTCATCCTTTCAGGTAGACACACATGCAGAAACAATGACTACAATAAACAGCTACCTAAAGTGGTAATAAACCTAAAAACATAATATAATTATAACACAGCTTCTGAGATGTGGTGATTGTTTTTTTGTTTTTTTTTTTTTTAGGATTTTATTCTCTATTTTTCACCTGTTAATCCAGCCAGTAAATCTCATTTTTCAACTTCCTTTAACAGACCAAGCTGTCCACCAAAAGCGGAAATTAGAGGGTTGAGACAAATCATTTACCAATGACAGGGGTACTTACAACGATCAGTTTCTTCCCATTTGTGTAAAATTTATTCCAAAAGGGTAAAAATAAAATCTGTTGTTGTAACTGCTTAATGAGTTAGCAGTGCATCTAACACTGCCCTCTCCACAAATCGACAATGCTGCTGTCCAAAGTTGTGTTTGTCACTCCTCCATCCAGAGACAGACGTACGTTACTGGTCAGATTATTAGGAACAGAACAAAAAAAAAAAAAAAAAAAAGCTAATGCAGCCACCAAATTTAAGGATTGTAAACTATTTAATCCCGCTTTAGGGCAGTTCCTCAAAATGCAGAGACCCACAAATTTGGACTCCACAAGGGACAAAAAAAGGGGTAGGTACACGGTGGGAAAATCCAGTGTCAATTGTTAGACAGGATCAGTTTGGGTTTTTTTGCAGGCCAGCTGATAAGTGTGCTGGTAAATTGTTTGGGATGACATGGGACAATCCCCATACACAGTCTTAGGCAAGGGGCAGAAGGTCAACAGTCTTAGCCAGTAGTAGCAAGGAAGAATCCAAACTTAACAGTGTTGACAGAAAAGCCCTAGACCAACCTTTAAGCCAGAAAGGGAGGATGCCCTAGGACGGACCCTTGCTGGAATAGGCTTCCTACACTACAACATATTAAGAAGCACAAAACTAAAGTGGTAGTAAACGCCAGATTTTTGTTTTTTACCTACAGGTAGTCCTATAATAAAGCTTACCTGTAGGTAAAATGAATCTCTCCTAAACGTGCACCATTCAGGAGATTTTCGCTCCTTTTGACAGCCAGCCATGGCACGGGACTCGAGGCTTGGTCAGTCAGATGGCTAGACCTCATGAACCCGGAAAGAAGACCGAGTGAAAATGAAAGCCTCTGGAGTGGTGACAGCGTGCCACTGGAAGGCTTTGTTTTAAGGCAAGTCCTCTATACTGTGCTAGTAGTAGCACATTATGACATTACCTTGCAGGGGAAATTTTTTTTTTTTTTTTTTTTTTTTTTTAGTGCAGTTTACTACTGCTTTAAGCTGGCCATATACCTCAGTAGAATTTAGTTTAAAATTTTCAATTTTTGTAATGTTCATGCAATTTTTCAATAGTTAGTGGTGTCAATATTACAAAAGTTTTTGACTGTATGAGAAAACCTGTAGGAGCAGGATGTTGACTTTCTTCCAAACAAATGAAATTCTAACAGTGTGATTTTTGTTCAGGAAAAATTGTGCATATTGTAATGAGACCCGTTTAATATGTCTGAAATTCCACTTAAATAGCAAGTCTGCGTGAAACTGTAAGGGCTTTCCAAATAAATTAGCTGACTTGATGGCAAGAATGAATGTTCTGACAAACAATTTCTCAGGATTTCTGTATGACCATTCAAATGAAAATCTATCTGCATAGCCCAGCTTTAGAGATGCTCCTGACTCATCAAGTCCACAGACCAACAGTCAGGAGCCTCACCAGGCTGGCAAAGTACATTCTTGTGGGTCAATCTGGGGCAAAAGAGAATGCTAAAAAATCCCTTGACCTTTTCTGTAAAGCAGATGAAGAAGTGTTAGTGAGGAAAGGCCTAGATCTGGACAGATAGATCCTATCGAGTTGCCAGAGCATCCACTGAGAAAGCATGTCCACAAAAATGCAAACCCGAGTTGAATATAGTGAATATAACTAGAACGTTCAGTTTGTCCACTGCTCCTATTGCTTCAAGATCTCCTGTTCCTCGTTGAGGCAAGCTTAAAGCGGAGTTCCACTCATCCTGTCAAAAAAAAAAAAGTCAGCATCTACAAAATCTGTAGCTGCCGACTTTTAAAAAACAGCCACTTACCTGTCCCTCGGTCCCATGGTGTGTCCCCCGCAGACCGTTTCACCTGCCGTCCTGGATTCCTGGAGGCCGGCATCTTGCGTGTGGGCACCTGGCTGTGACTGCTTGCGGCTTCATAGCTGGGTACCCACTGCGCATGCGCGAGTAGCGCTGCGCTTCATGAATGGTCCTGTAGTCTTCTGGGACCTGTCACGTGTCCCTGAAGACTACAGGGAGGGAAGGAGGGAGGACACCTTCCGTTTCCAATCGCCTAGGCGGTCCAACCGCAATTGGGAGCCGGTACCTGTCAAATTCGGGTACCCCCCCCCGCCCCCAAAAAGGTGCCAATCCTTAATGGGCAGCGGGGGAGCAGTCCTTAAAGCGGAACTTCCCCTTTTGGGTGGAGCTCCCCTTTAAGAAGTGGCATGGTCCAATTGTATCCAAACCAGGTGACCTGACAGTAGGATGATTCAGAGATGTAAAAACAACTACATCTCCTGAAAATACTGGATCCAGAAAGGAAGACTAGAATTCTTTGACCATTAAGTGCCCTGTACCAACAGGGAGCCCATGCCTCCTCTCCAGCTCCAAAGGCTGGCATTCCATGATCGGTTTTTCCAGAAGGTGAAGAAAGAACTTCCAACTCCAGAGGTTGAAGGAGCCTCAGGAGCAGACAAAAATCGGTCAGCTTCGAAACTCAACTTGTCCCATAACAACACAGTGCAGTGCTGAGACAGTCTGGGATGGTATTATACAAAAGAGGTTGCCTCAAAGAGGGTTACCCACTGGCCCATGACTGCAACTTAGAGAAGGGAAATTCCTGGACTGAAGGGCAAGAATAAGTCTGGATGGACAGAAGATTTTCCTGTAGAATATCTTCTGGCCTATGCAGTCTATGAGATGATTTCAGTGCCAATCTCTGAAGATTAAGGACACAACTGAACAGCTACGACATTTGGGCAGTGAGACATTGTGCAACCGCCAACGCCGACTGTTTTCTCAACAGTAGGTCTCCCAAATATCCCGCAATGGGGATAGTCTGGGAGGGCAATAGGGCCAACACTGGAGCCAACACCCTTGGGGAACACTCAGGGTACAAGAGTACTGGGAAATATGGAGGCCTGTAGGTACACAATCTAACTGATCACAAAAAAAAAACAGAAAGTCCCCTGGAGGATTGGAGCAATGGCAGATCTCATGGAGACCACCATGCAAAATCTTTTAAACTTACAAGCCCGAAATGAGACATACATGGGAAAGATCCTGCCAGAGGAACGTTTTGCCATAGGAACTGGTGAGAAGCCAAAGAGGGATCAAAAAATGAGGGTTCAGTTTGAATTGCGGAGATATCTCATTCACTCTACCCCAAGGGCAAACTATCCAGGTATCCACAAAGAGGAACAAATGCCCCTAAATTTGGAAAGTGGGTGCACCTTCATGCTGATATTTTTCTTTTGAGTGTTTAGCAAGCTTTTTACCCAGACTTTGCAGGTGGCCAGAGAACCAAGCTTGGGAGACCTGGTATCTTATTGAGACCTGTATATTCCAAGGGTAAGGAAACAAAAAGGAAGGATAATTTACAGACCTTTTCCCAAGCTTCTTGCACTGAGGCATGGGAGTGCTCTTGTCTACAGTGACAGTCGTGAAAATATTAAGTGCTGGTCCAAAGTGATATTGTTCCTTGAAGACCATACAAGTCATTGGTCCTTGGAAGCAGAATTTGTAGATCAGTACTTTAACCACAGTACTCTATATATGTATACACATTAACACCAACACAGGTAACAAGCCAAGATGTTTCCAGCAGGCCATCACAGCCAAAGTGTAAAGCTTCAGCTCACTGCTCCCACATGCTCTATCATTAAAAAAATCAACTGCCACAGTGGAAGGGTCTCTTTAGGGATTTTGACAATTTTGCCGTGGTTTTGACGAATTAAATCACAACCAAAACAGGGCGAACAGAAAGGTCCGGCAGTTAGAACTAAGTTCTAAACAAGGTTTCCAACCATTCATCAGGGGGTTCCTTAAATGCAGAACATTCTCTAAAACCAAAATGACTTCCTTGCTAAGGTGTTCCACTGATGTATCCACAGTAGGGGTAGACCATTGTTCACAGAGGAAAGGTTACAGAGCATGAGCATGTAGACAGTTCACCCAGTTCATGGTGTCAATGCCAAGTCCCAGAATGCTTGAACGTCACTTTCAGCCTATCCTCACATCCATTTCAGTGGGGTCTGGATACAGAACTCCCAAATCCAGGCTGAGGGCGGCAGCACCAGATAACTTGCAGAGACCAGCTCTAGCATTAACATAGGTAAGGATCTAGAATGAAGGAAAACATGTTGAATAAAAAAAAATTATGCTAGCAAGGTTAAGTTAGACTTCTCAGCAGAGCTCAAGAAAGGACATTCCTTATATAGGACACAATGAAAAACTGAGGCATGCTAGTAGGAAAAATGGCCTACAGTTCTTTTGTTTTTCAGCCTCCAATCTCTGTTGTAAGCATAGGCTGAATGTGTTTTCCTCAATGGGCAAGAAAGAAATTCATTTTGAGAGAAGTAGATTTTAACCAGATGTTCAGTGTATTTAAAAATATTTAGCCAGATGCCAACCGATATGAAATGCATTGTATGCTTTTAAACCTAAAATATATTTAAAATACTAAAATACGTTCAGAAGCAAAAACTTACTGTACTATAGGCTCCAAGTCTGAACACTGATGATCCTCTCTCCTTTTTCCTAGGTGTAAGGCATCTATTATAGTATTATCAAAATGTTCATTGGACAACTCCTTTGGAAGCTGGTGGGAAAGTTGCAACAAATTACTGAGGTTACCATAATACCTAAAGAAGATCAATCATATAATATGACAGTGACCCAAAGCAAAGGCAAGAATCTGGAATTAAGAGAGCGAACAAATACAACAATTAAAAACACTTTTTATGCAAGACTTTAGAAATGTGCATTACCTAAAACAAAACCGCATAAACAAATGGGTCAAACTATCTCTGAACTGCTACTCAAGCCTGATCAGTATGGACATATTTTGTAGAGGGCACTTCCAGCAAAGCACATTTCATTAATTAATAAACCAAAGCCTAGGTTTGCACCTGTGTGTGCTTCTTTATGCTTTTTCTGGTGAATTTTGCAGCACGTTTTTGATGCAGCAACTATTGAACATCTCTGATATGGGACGTTTAACTAGTCCCTGGCCGTGCTATAGCCAAAAGACAGCTACAGCACGGTTGGCTAGTTTTGGAAGGGCGTCCATGGACATCCTCCCATAAACCACACCCCCGGGGTGCACACCGTACTTGAGCTGTGATCGCTGTGTCCAATTCACAGCTGATCACAGTGTAAATAGGAAATGCTGGTGGTCGGCAGCCTTCTCCTCACGCTGTCATTGCGTGAGGAGGAGAGCCGTAAAGCTGCATTTCTCAGAGTGGACATCTACACTGATCATCAGTTCCAGATATCAGTGCCCATCACTGCCACATATCGGTGTAGCCTCAGCAGTGCCTCCTCATCAGTGCCACCTATTAAAGCCCATCAGTGCCGTATAACGGTGCAGCCTGATCAGTGCAGACTATCAGTGCCCATCACTGCAGCCTCATCAGCGCCCATCAGTGAAGGTGAAAAATCACTTACTTTCTGTTACAAAGTTTTGTAAATAGGAAAAACTTCTTAAAACATTTTTGGTCTTTTTAGTTTATTTAGCAAAAAATAAAAACCACCAAAAGAAAGCTCTATTTATCTAAAAAAAAAAAAATGCTAAAAATTTAGCTTGGGTACAGTGTTGCATGACCGCGCAATTGTCATTCAAAGTGCTGAAAGCTGAAAATTGGTGGTCTCGCAAACAGGTTAAGCAGTGACGAGAACCAAGGCCTTTTTGGCCAAAAGGGGGCAACCCCCCCTCTCTGATATATGCAAGCAAGTTAGTCACAAAGCAGTTTCAGAAGTATTAACTCCACAAAAATAAGGGTGGGTGCTATGTCCATCAATTAACTCAGAGAAGAGGATTTTAGGGTGAGTAATAAAAACCCATTTTCTCTTACGTTCATTTATGGACACAGCTCTTCTGATTATTGACTAGGATGCCCCAAAGCAGTGTCTCAAGAAGGGATGGGCAAACCAAAAAACAAGGGCTCCTAATCAGCGACCTGCAGAACCTTGAAGCAAAAATAACCATCCAAAGATGTAAATACATCAACAGACGACCGAGAGCCGGCTTGCAAATCTGAAAGGCTGCCAGGCCTTTTCCTGGACCAACCGCAAGCACCAAATGATAATCTGACCTCCAAAAGGAAGTCATAGCAGACTTCAAAAGAATCGCGTGGACCACATTCAAGGAGTGCAACGCAACATCCTAAAGATGCAACCACTGTGGACAGAAGGCAGGCAGGACAATGCACTCATTCAGGTGAAAATCCAACACCACCTTTAGAGGAAAAAAAAGGGCATGAACAGCAAACCACCTTATCCTTGTGCAAGGGCAAAAAAAAGGGCAAGACCCACAGGAGAAGGCCACCAGTCTCGACACTCATCGTACAGAAGTGATGGTGACCAAGTAGGCAACCTTGGAAAAGGTAAGCAGGGGAATATTCAGAGTACTCCCAAAGGGAGACTTTCAGCGGACACAAAGTACCAAATTCAGGTAAACAAGAACAGACAGGAGGCACTACATGACAACCCTGGATGAAAGCGCAGATCAAGGAATGCATGGGGAAGAAGAAGAATTGCTTGCCTTTAACCACTTACCTAGTGAGCACTTTTACCCCCTCCTGCCCAGGCCAATGTTCACCTTTTTTTTTATTTTTATTTATTTCAGGTACTTATATAGCGCCGTCAATTTACGCAGCGCTTTACATACATATATTGTACATTCACATCAGTCCCTAACCCTCAAGGAGCGTACAATCTAACCTTTCAGTGCTGTCGTGCTTTGAATGACACCAAAGCGGTCATACAACACTGTACCCATATGAAATTTTATAATGTTTTCACACAAACAGAAATATCATTTGGTGGTATTTAATTTTTTTTTTTTGCGTTAGAACTGAAAAAAGACGCAAGCTATTGAGCAACTCCCTGTTGGAGAAAGGCTAAAACCCGAGAAAAAAAAAAAAATATAAAAAAAAAAAAAAAAAAAAAAAAAAAAAAAAAAAAAAATAAAAAAAAAAAAAAAAAAAAAAAAAAAAAAAAAAAAAAAAAAAAAAAAAAACCACCAAGAAGGAACATGGGTGGACACTAGTGGTGCACCGAAATTAAAATTCTGGTGCCGAAATGGATACCGAAAATTCAGAATGCATGTGGCCAAAAACTGAAACCAAAATGTCTTCGAATGTGGGAGTGGGGAGGCTCAAATGCATTTATTTATTTAACTTTAATGTGTATTTTTATTTATTTTTTTAACTTATGATAGTTACAATAGTCTCCTATGTAATAGCACATGAGTGACAGATCCCCTTTGTAGGAGGGAGGGGGGGGGGGCACGAGAGGAGCAGTGTATACACTCAGGCTTCCTCACTGGCTGCCCCTATGTCACTGCTGATTTTTAAATGTAATTACCGGCTTTTTTTTCCCTTTCACTATAGCTCCAAGAATGAACTGTCATTCTCCCCTCTGCTAAAGGAAACTAAGGGGCAGGATCACTGGGTAATGTCACTGTGTGACCCCGCACCTTAGTTTCTCTTAGCAGAGGGGAGAATGACAGCTCCTTCTCGAAGCTATAGTGAAGGGAAAAAAAAAAAAGCAGGCAATTGCATTTAAAAACAAATTAAATGAAGCAATGCAGCGCAGCAATATATAAATAAATAGAATGGTGCTTACAATCTAATGTGCCTGTATAAATAGTGAGAAACACTGTAAAGTGAGTTTTTAACCCTGTAGTGTCCCAGGAGGACACAATTTAATGTGAGTTGAAGATATTTTGTTTTAATAAAGGCTGTTTTTAGTAGAAATACTACACTATATTGAGCATTTTTTGACATGGATATAGAACGATCTAGATCTGCTTAAAAGTGCTGGCAAACGGTGGTGAAGATCTGTGTACCATTATACCCTCCCATGTTAAAGGGAAAAAGAACAGTTTGAACTGTCATTACGGGTCAAACTTGGAGGTGAGCGCAATAGAGGGTTGAAGGTGAAAGAGCACTAAGGGGTGACACAGGAGCACCGTACAGGTTTATGCAGTAGTATGTTTACACTGGTCCACTTGAAGTACAGCAGATTTAACCACCTGCCCTCTAGAGGATTTACCCCCCTTAATGACCAGGCCTCTTTTTGCTACTCGGCGCTGCACAAATTCAACTGATAATTTTGTGGTCATGCAATGCTGTACCAAAATTAAATTTACGTCCTTCTTTTCACAAAAATAGAGCTTTCTTTTGGTGGTATTTGATCACCTGTGCGCTTTTTATTTTTCGTGCTATAAACAAAAAAAGTACTGAAAATTTTGAAGAAAAACTATATTTTTTCATTTTGGCTATAAAAAATATATAGCAAACTCAAAGTTAGTTATAAATTTAGACCAAAATGTATTCCGCTATGTTTTTGGTAAAAAAAAATCCCAATAAGTGTATATTGATTGCTTTGTGTGAACGTTGTAGCGTCTACAAACTATGGTATAGATACTGTAATTTATGCCTTTTTTTTGATATACAGCGCTGCGCTAGTTTAACTGACAATTGCGTGGTCATGCAATATGGTACATAAATGAAATTTATGTTCTTTTTTTCACAAAAAGAGAGCTTTCTTTTGGTGGTATTTGATCACCTGTGCACATTTATTTTTGGCGCTATAAACAAAAAAATTTTGAGAAAAAAAAAATATATATATATATATATTCTCTCATTTCTGTGATAAAAAATATCCAAAAAACTAAAATTTCGTCATAAATTTAGGCCAAAATGTATTCTACTCCATGTTTTTGGTTAAAAAAATCCCAATAAGTGTATATTGATTGCTTTGTGTTAAAGTTATAGCGTCTACAAACTATGGTATAGATAATGGAATTTACACAGCTTTTACTTTCTGACTGCCCATCTCATTTCTTGAGGTGCTAAAATACCAGGATAGTACAAACACCCCCAAATGACCCGTTTTCGGAAAGTAGACACCCTAAGCTATCTGCTGAGAGGCATATTGAGTCCATGGAAGATTTATTTTTTTTCCACATGTTTCTGGAATATGACAAAAACTTTTTTTTTTTTTACACAAAGTTGTCATTTAAATATTTCTGATATATTTCTCGCACAAGCCATGGGTAAATGTGGAATTACACCCCAAAATACATTCTGCTACTTCTACTGAGCCTGAAATCCAATGACCACTTTGAAAGCCTGATGGTGAGCAACTTCCTCATTTCACTTCCTCCCTACCTATCACAGTTTCAAAGGCCCTGAAATGCACAGGATAGCACCAAACCCCCCCCCCCCCCCCCCCCCCCCCAAATGACCCCTTTTTGGAAAGTTTACAAATGGCGCTGTTTATATCCTGTGAAACTGAAGTCATGAAATGCTCGTAGCTTCCGAATTCTTAGACTATAGAGATGATTGGCACCACTCTGGTCTCCAATCAGGTCTATGATCAGCTGGCAGAAACACCGGCTGCATTCTCAGGTTGCCCCGATGGCACAGAACTGCCCGAGAAGGCCGTGGAAGGCAGTGGGGCATCGTCTCCCGCTACTTGTTAAAGCAATCCTGCAGCAAATTAGCCACTAGGATTGCTTTTACATGAAAGCAGATCGCCAGCTGAAAAAAAATGATACCAGGATGATGCCTGCAGGTATCATCCTGGTAT